TATTTCTGAAAACCTTTTCTACAAGTTTATATAGATTTATATCGCCAACTGACATCTTCACACTGGAAGCCTCGGTAGATACCAACTAACTGAATGAACAAAAGAACAAAGGAACATTCTTATTTCTCTCCTCCTCAAAATCATAACGTTAGGCCTGAGATCCATCCATTTACATTTCAAAGATACATAGCATGGCTAAATGGTAATACCCAAATCTGTTACCACAGAAATCAGCAAGGAGGTTTCACCATCACTGTCCAAATTCAAAACTCACTGAAAAATAACCGAAATATTTATACCTTGGAGGGGAGCACTGCAGAGATACAAATTAGCTGCATTTAGCTCGCTTGTTCACCAGACAGTTCAAAAACCACGTTGCTCATTGGAAGGAGCAGGGTGAAAGTAGGGCTTTGAGAAATTATTTTTGAAAAGCTGGAAGCCAGACAATTCCCATTTGGGCAAGGGATTAATAGCATGTTTGCCTAAAAGCCACAGTCAAACACCTCAGAGGTTTTCCTTATACTAAAGGATTCTTTATATTTGGGTAGAGATTAATCCCTCACCTTTAAATGGAGACGTCTGCACATAAACGAAGATGCCTACCTAAGCATAGAGATGCATCCACATCAGTGCACATTAGATAGCCATGTAGGCAAAGTATCTATTCACACGTTGGTTTCTAGAAACCCACAGATAAGACAGATGCATAGCAAAGATATCCTCTGCAGAAAATGGTTTCTGGGCTCTTTCTCTGTAATCTGCACACAATCTTAGAGTTTTCATTCTTATTTGTTGTTATTGTATCTGTTTGAATGTATAAAGAGAAGATGTGTTCATATACATAGTAACCATTAAACCAGACATAAGTAAAGTGAGTGGTTGTTGTCAACACACCTTGGAATTTGGTTAGCAATAAAATTGTTAACTCTGGTTCAAACTGAGGAGACTAAATCAAGAGTAAAATGGGTTAGATACAGACTTATTAAGACAATCTTGTATTTATGACCTTCTAAGGGCTAGTTTCTTCAGAGTCAGTGTTTGGTAATTGTGTCACCTTTAAGCAAGAGCTAAGTCAACAGTCTTCACAGTTGTTTTTCTTTTGAGGAAGATTAGCACTGAGCTAACTACTGCCAATCCTCCTCTTTTTGCTGAGGAAGACTGGCCCTGAGCTAATATCCATGCCCATCTTCCTCTACTTCATACGTGGGACACCTACCACAGCATGGCTTTTGCCAAGCAGTGCCATATCTGCACCCAGGATCCAAACCAGCGAACCTCGGGCCGCCAAGAAGCGGAACATGCAAACTTAACCACTGCACCACCAGGCCAGCCCTTCACAGTCTTAAAGGACCCTAAATTGTTCTTTGCATGGACAGGTTCATTTTCACCATATAAAACACTGCTGTTCTCAGGATGGAGAGAACTAGGAATAAATGCTAAGACACCATGTATATTTCATTGTATGTATATTTTATAGAATAACATGTATAAATGCATCTCCTTATTATGTATTATGTAGTAAATATGACCATATTTGGTAGCCTAAAAAAAGATATGCCAAGGGCTGGCCCAGTGGTGTAGAGGTTAAGTTTGCATGCTTTTCTTCGATAGCCCAGGGTTCAAGGGTTCAGATCCTGGGCGTGGACCTATACACCGCTTATCAAGCCATGCTGCGGCAGCATCCCACACACAAAATAGAGGAAGACTGGCACAGATGTTAGCTCAGGGACAATCTTCTGCTCCAAATAAATAAATAAATAAATAAATAAAAGAGATATGACAAAGTTTAAAATATGCCAATGTTAAAAATGCAAACTTGAACCCAGAACTGCAATGCCGACACTGTGAGGTGACCATTCCCCTGGTATGCTGGAGAATCTGACTATGTGCACTTACTGCTTAATCCAGGTGTTCAAAGAAACAAAGTTAAGATATTAGCAGCAACAATCATATGATCATTCAAAAAATGAATACCTCTGAGTTTTTTTGAGTAATAACTGCCAGTTCCTTACAATGAGTTAGTACAGAATGACAATCAATTAAATATAGTCCCTGTCACAAATCAAAAGTGCCAGCCAAAGTGTGTACACATCAATGAGACACTTCTAGTTCATCCATGCAACGTAGGGTTCCTGGCAGTCTAGTGGTTAACAGGATTCAGCACTCTGCCTCGGCCCAGGTTCATTTTCTGGTCAGAGAAACACACCATCCATCTGTGGGCCGTCATACTGTGGCAGCTGCATGTTGCTGTGAGCTCTGCCACCAGTATGTCAAATGCCAGCAGGGTCACCCGTGGTGGACAGGTTTCAGCAGGGCTTCCAGATGAGACAGACTAGGAAGGACCTAGCCAGCCATTTTTGAAAAAATTGGCCATGAAAACCCTAGGAACAGAGGTGGAGCATCATCTCATACAGCGCTGGAAGGGGAGAGGATGGAGCAAAAGATCGGGCAGGGTTCCACTCTGTTGTGCACGGGGTCTCTAGGAGTCAGAATCCACTAGACAGTACTAACGACAAAGTCATCGTAGAGGAGGAAATCGGGGAAAAATGAGCAATGCAAGGTGCATGTGACCTGCCCGTGAATTTTCAGTTCCTAAAACTCAAGGGACTGGAAGGCAGAAAGCTTCTAGAGACAACCAGAGACAAGGAGAGGGGCCTTCTTAGAATCACTTGACTCCATCTGGGTGGAAATGGACCCCTGGCAAGCTGAAGAATAACGATGGCAATGAGTACACATTAATGGATATTTTCCTTTTTTGACAAATAGTTTTAGTTTCCAATTTAGGCAGTGATAGAAAATTTCCTTTTACAAAAATTAAAATTTGAAAAATAGGTCAATTTTAAAGTGAAGTCTGTTTTAAAAAATAGTACGAATTATATGTGGACAGTGCAAAAACGAGAAAAGGTGAATGATTAAAGTTTGTTAAAACGTGGATCCGAAACACCTGTCACAGCAGCTTGATGCCCTAACTTGTGAGGCCACTCAGAGAATAACCACGTTACAGTTCTCTCTGTTACTGCAGTCTTATCTGGAACACTGGAAGTCTGACACTGAGTGTGTACAAAATGTTGTGCTGTGTTAATGATATTAAATTCAAATGCTAAGACTAAGGAATTTGATGCAATGTTTTGCAGTAGAGCAAATCTCAATTAATCTATAAACAATACATAGATAGATTTTACCAAAAGGAAACAATTTCCTGAAAAGAAAAATGGAAGATCGGAAAACATCTTAAATATGAAATACTACCTAAATTTGGTATTCATAAATATAGATATCAAATTCTTTCACAATTGACTAAATATGGAAGACCTGAGACAAATAAACATACGTAATATGCATTTTTGCCTCAAAATATTAGGTTACATTAGAGGAAAAAGTACACATTTATTAGTCATGTGTTTCGTCAACACGTCTACTATAAAAAGGAATACTCGCTTAAATAAATAAAACCCTGTGTTTGGATTCTAGGCTCCAGGGCCTAATATTTTAAAGGAGCCTGATTCTCAACTGAGAAAGGTCAACCAGGTAAAATTTAAACACATCTGTGGAGATACGAAATCACTATTTTTAAGGTACTAAAGCAAAAGCAGGCAGCTTGGCTAAAATAAACACATATGTTATTCTTGCAATAAAAAACAAGAGAGCAACAAGCAATGACTGGCGCAACTCTCTGTCCTAGTGAGGACATCCTCTCAGTTTGGTCTCAACCCCTAGTAACAACATTTCATTATGTCCCTTTCCTTGCCATTCCAAAGCAAAATAGCAATTATGATGTGGAAATTTTTTTAAATCAATAAACATAGACCTACAATTAGATTAAAATACAAAATGATTGGCATTGCTTTCTGAAGCCTAATTATGATAAAACTTGTCTTCAAATAACATGCTGCAGAGCCTTAAATAAAACTTTTTATATAAATAAGTTTCAGTCAAAAGTTGAAGCTAAGAATACTTTACACTGACAAAATCTCTACCGGGCCATCACTGATTTGAGTATTGTTAAGAATATGCATTGATTGTCCTAGACGTACACATTCAAATCATTCTGTTCTACAAAATCAAGTAACAAGCAAGATATTTTTAACTTATTGAAATGAGAAGAGAATACATCTCCTTTGAATAACCTCTGTTCTTTTAGGGAATGACTAAAAAAATAAAGTAGAAAAATACTTATTTACTGCAGATTTCTAGGATGGTATCAGTGCTATTTTTTTCAATTTCTTATTTTTGAAAGGAAGAATTCTTGGTTTTAGGAAAAGTCGCAAACCTGAAATGTTAAATTCTCTTGATATTTAACAAAACAGATGATAACCGAAGGTCTGAAATGCTCCTTCACTGAGCCACCAATTACACTCTAACACTGTTCCTGATATCTAGGCAGATTTTTATTTAGGACGACTGTAAAATGGACAGAGACCACCAAATCCTTCATTGGCACAGGTCCACATTTCTTTATTCTAACCCAGAAAACTAAATGAGAAATGGCAGTCACCATTTAACCATGCTATTGTAATAAGCTTTCCTTATCCTCACTCTGGTTCATAAGCCAAACTTCTTGAAAAATCATCTTCAAATCATTTGAAAGTTACCAGGACCAATAGAATGATCATTTCCCAAACTTGAGATGTGGAAGACCGGGGCAGAAGACTATTTCTGTGTCCCATTGGGAGGGGACGAGTTCCTTTGAAACAAAATGTATCAACAAAAAAGGAATTCATCTTTTCCTTTTCCTCATTTTATTTGAACTCTGTGATCTATTTGGTGCCTGTGTTTGTGTGCATGTAAAGAGAAAATGATAGTTCTATTTATTTAGCCCTCAGAGGGATTTATGTATGATATGTTAAAAAATGTTCATACCTCGTATCTTCAGATCCAACTGTAAGCACCATAAGGGAAGTTCCTGCTTAGTCACTGGTCATGTTTCCCCCATAATGTCAAACTTAAGTCCTGAATATTCTCATAAAGGACAAGATATCAAGTGAAAAGTAAAACTTTACCCTGATGAAGAGGATCTTTTCTCCCACTCGGTACCTTCCTTGAGAGAGCCTCTCCACACAGAATTTGTTCGGGCATTTGCAAGGAGGATCTTCAGAAATCCGTTTCACCTGAAATAGAAGAGCAGCAAGTTCATTCTCCGTAATTAGGTCGTATTTAGATAAATTTGTTCCGTGAGTTCAAAGGCCCCTGGACCATTAATGCCTGAAATTTGTTCTGTATCAGACTATGGACATGATGTGAGCACAGAAATATCACATTAACTCCTAGCAATGTCAAGGTCAGGCCCTGAAGGCATTTTCCAAAGGCCAATAACTGCACTCAGACACAAGCTGGATGATGACAATGCTAACGATGCTGGAGGAGAATGACAAGCAAATCGTTTGGCAGTGTAGGAATGGTGAACTGGGTTCTCAATTTTGGAGGATTAAAAAGAGCACATACATTGGGTTGCCAAGAGAAATATATTGAAAACTAGAATAGAACATATGTTAACATGGAGTATATGTTCCTCATTATAACTTTAATGATATTAATTTTACTCATTTTCTAAATAAATAAGAATTAAACAAATTTTTTAATAAGATTATTGTTTCATCTTATTTTTAACTCCAAGATTTTCTTTAAGAAGTCATCTCTAATTCACCCAGACTCACCCAGCAATTCACTCCATCTCAGTAATTTCTCCACCTACCAAAACCTACTTCTGTGGCAATATCTTACAAGTTACATGCTTTTTGTAGAATCCATGTCTGAATATCAGATTTTATCTCTATTTTCTCTATCTCCCTACTCTTTAACAAATACATAATCTAAATGATGTGCTAACAATGCTTATAAATACTTTTGACTATTAGAAGAAAATGTATAGCCCATGATTTTAGGTCTTTAGGAATAAGGTGTATGTTTATATTTTCCTCTATTGGGAACCTGCCATCTTGTGTCTCATAACTGTCCTCTCTTCCACTAACCAACCAACCAACCAGACAATCCAAAACAATAATTTCCTGTGTTTTGAGTTAAAGTCTCCATGGAAGAAAGATCTAAACAATGTGCAACCTGCATTTGAGAACCTGGACAGAACAAATTTAGATTCTGAAGGAAGTGGCTGGGACTCTTCTCACTCAAATTCTTTCTTCCACAAAGATATGGTTCCTAGAGTTTTATCACCAAAAAAATTCAGTCATTCCCTCAAATAATTCAATGTCTGACTTCAATCAGCATCTACTGAGCAAATCTGTGGGAAGAGTAACATACGAACTCACTTGCATGTTGGTGTAAAGGACTTACACAGCTTGGTTTCCCTTGAATAAGAGGGGTTCCAGAAGGTATGGAAGCATGAGACACTAGAGGGAAAGCAAGAAAGGGTGGAAGAATCTTGAAACAAAACTTAAGAACTATACAATTATGCCTCAGTGAAGACCTCCAGAGAAGAACCCATACTATTGCTGGGGGGCAAAGAGCACCAGTTTCAGGATACGTATTTTCATCAGTCCCTTGATCCCCAATTCTGCCAACATAGGAAGCTACAGTTCTTGGTATTTATTTTTATCATAGCAAATTATATCCCAGTTATTGGTTAACCCTTTTTTTTTTTTTTAGGAAGATTAGCCCTGAGCTAACTACTGCCAATCCTCCTCTTTTTGCTGAGGAAGACTGGCCCTGAGCTAACATCCCCATGCCCATCTTCCTCCACTTTATACATGGGACACCTACCACAGCATGGCTGTTTGCCAAGCGGTGCCATGTCTGCACCCGGGATTCAAACTGGCGAACCCTGGGCCGCCGAGAAGTGGAATGTGTGAACCGCTGTGCCACTGGGCCGGCCCAGTTATTGGTTAACCCTGATGTCTCTTTGCTAGATTGTGAGTTACTTAAGGGTTAAGATAGTATTTCATGAAAATAGTTTTAAATCCTTAAAATAAAGCACAATGCTTTAATGGCATATAATATGTTTAATAAATGCACATTGAATAAGTAAGAACATGGACCTATACAGGATGCAGAGAGAAATCAGAGCAACAGATTAAGACTGGATTCAAAGAATCTTAGTGACAACTCTCACGGAAAAATGAGGGAACTGCCTAATGTCATTAAATTAGGGATGAGGCCCATGTCTTTGAGTTCTGAATTTACCCTACCATTTGATACTCGGTTCATAGATACAGCCACCCATTCCTCCAGTATTCACAGAATTCTGTCCCTAGGGATTTTGTGAAGGCTATTCTTGAACAAGATGATGATAAGAGAACAAGAACAAAGGTTGGGTAACAGTAACGTCTTTCCTTCCATAAGGCAGAACCACATTTGGGGCGGGGGTGGAGTCATAGGACCAATAAATGTGTGCCATTTTCCATGTTCCTCTATGTATATCTCTTTCTATATGTATTTAAAAAATGTTTAAAAAATATATCAATGTGTGTGTATATATATATATATATATAAATTATGTTTAATTTATACCATTGCTAGAAGTGGTACAGTTTTCCTTACCACCACAATAAGGGCTTCCATGAGAGAAGAAGGAAGGAAAGAAAGGAGGGAGGGAGGGAGGAAGAGATGGGAGGAAAGGAGAGAGGGAGAAGGGCTTTGGCCATCCCGAAGGAAGTCAGACAGTCAGCGTCCTGAAAGCACATGGCCTGAACTTTAGGAGAGCCATGTTTGGCACAGCTTCACTGCCGCGTGGTAATTGAGCAAAGAGTAAATTGGTGTTCAAGTGGTTCCTCTGCTCAGAAATGACAGTCACAAGTATGTAGGAAAACATTTCCACCTTGAAGCGTTCTCAGACAAAACACAGAAACTGTTGGTAGCAAAGGAAGTAAAGTACAAGAAGCATTTTCTCAAGTGGCCTGCCCTTCTCTAATGCCTACCTAGCTTTGAAAATGGACTTGCTTTTTTTTATAATCAAGGGTTTTTTTGTAGTTGTTTGAGAGGTGGAGGGAGAAGTGGAAGACACGAGACGAGACGAGACTGTGGGCAGTGGAAACAGACTGTTAAGTCCACAGTGACTGATGACATCTGTGCTTCTTGCGTTACCTTGGGAAAAGTCAGTCTGGCAGGTGTTCTGTTTTGGGCCAGGAACCCAGCCAGTTTTCTGCTGAAATGGGATTTCAAGAGGAGCCTGATTACTCAGAATTATACTATCTCTCATCCCCAGACTGAGGAAGTTGATGGAGAAGAGGAAGAAAGTAAAAACAGTTTCTTAGTTGTATTCAGCTCATTGTGTGGGAACCAGCTCCACAGGAGGGAACGCAAAGAAGAGAACCAAACCCGACCCGCCATTTTATCACACTGACTCATCTATCAGGACAGCTGGAGAATACGTTCATCTGAATGGACTCCACTGTGTTCCTTTTATGATATCTTGATAAAAGGAAGGCGGGATGTACTCTCCCCATAAAGGGTCACCTATTTTTTTGTTCAATTTTCCACAATTCCCCTAAGTAGCAAACAAGGAAATGTGAGGAAATATTTCAAGTTTCAAAACTGGCAGTTATTGTTGAAAGTGGTCACTGGAATGTGATATCTTAACCCAGGATTGCCTCTCTTACTAAATTTCTGTTTTCTTTTTCTTTATTCTTTACTCTATTTTTTTGTTTTCTTATTTTACTCCTCTTTATTCTCTTCCTTCTTTTCTTCTGTTTTTTTTTTTTTTTGATGCAAATCATAACTTTGCCAGAGTAGAAATAGCCAATATTAGTAACTAAACACAGGAACTTTGCAGGCAATCTCTGTTATGTCCTATCCTAAAGCACCTGATGAAGTCCATGAATTTCAACTCCCAGGGCCATCTACGCCTCACATGCAGTGAAGCGGTTGCCATAGGAACTATTTCCTTTTTGTATTTGACAGATGAAGCTCTGATTTAAACCAGTAGTGAGGCTCAAATTATTTTTCTCTCTGTTCCACTGTCCCTGAATTAAAACACTTCAGTGAAAAACTATCACTTAAACCGAATTCAAATATTTCATGGCAATTTCCCCAACAGAGAATGAAGGAGACTGTCAGAGACTTCTGTCGGCAAACAAGTTTGGAAAATTCCAGGTTACACAAGATCTTATTATGGAACTCACTAGCGCCTTTGATATGCCAAAGTGCACTGCCAAACTCTAGGTGGGACTACCGTAAGCTGTATTTCTCAAACGAGCCTAACCACGGAATTCTTTTCCCAGTGGGGCATCTGGTAATGCTAGTGTTGATTAAACATCCTTTGAGAAATGCTGGTTTAAAGACTTTCAGAACATAGGATTCCACAGGGCAATAGTACAGAAAGATCCACGTTGCACATTTCCTACATTCAATAAAACCCCTTTCTAAACAGATGATTATGTTCCCACACTTTGTTTGGTAAACTTTAAAGGGGATTGAAGTTTTTCTGAAATCCCCTTCATTGTTTCCAGTTGAGAGAACAGAACTTGGAGAGGGGAAAACAACCACAGAGTCACAGTCCTGCTGTTTTAAAGAGGGTATCTGTCTCATTCCACTTCTCCTGAACTGCAGTCTTGGTAAAACATTTCCAAAATCCCTTTCATAGCTGTTTTGCCCACTTCTCCCCCCTGTCATTTTCTCTCCTTCTCAAGGATGAGGGGTGGCCACACATGACACAGGCTGGTGAAGAAAAGGGAACCATTCTATAGCTACTTCTCCCAGGTTCATGTAAATGGCTTCAAGTGGCAACATTGCCTCTGCAAAGCTACAGCAGAGCGCATGGTATTTCCAGATCACATGGCCTTTCCAGATAAACAGAAAAAGGGAGAAGCTTTTTTGAACTTTAATTACCCACGTTGATCATTTATCCAACAAGCGTGGCGCTGGATATAGATTAATAAAATATGGTCCTCGTCTTTGAGAACAAGGACTGCACCTAGAAAAGAATGGATATTTATGTCCAATAAGGTAAATACCATATTAAATATATAAAAAAATCTTTGGGGTACAAGGATGAGTTTGTCGATTTTACCTGGGATGAGAAATGCCAAGAAAAGCTTTATATAGGAGGCCATACAACCGGAATTTTAAAAGATGGAAAAGTGTTGAAGAGTAGATTAAAAGATAAGTAGGCAGAAGCATGGGGAGAAAAGCAAGTGAGGAATAACCCAGGGTATAAAATGCCCTTAGGAATTTGGTGTTAACAGGCATGTACATGATGGATACATCTGAACGCAAAAACGAGTCCAGAGGCAGAAAGGTCGGGAATGACACACTGGGCCAGAACATGGAGGGTTTACATGACACTTACGTGAGTTTGGGCTTTACCTGGATGTTACTGGGAACCCCTATATACTTTTAATCAAATCTGAGCTGCATTTAGGTTGATCATTCTGGTAGCAACAGTGTTCATGTAGAAGAATTTCAAGAAAAGAGTGGTCAACAGTGTCAAACAGCAGAAAGTGGTATCATACTTTGAGGACCAAAAAAATTCATTTGATTCAGTAATTCCTTCCTTAGGAGGGTAAGGGTGATGTTGGCCAGCAGGCTAACTATAATGCACTACAGAAAGTGAATGGAAGTGACAGCTGAGAGGAAAAGGACTGAGATCAAGTATAGCAGCCCCAGAGAAACACGGTTACAAGAGAAAGACTAAAGGGACATCTTCAAGCAAGCTGAATCAAAAAATATAATTAAGAGAGAAGAAAAATTGTTCTCACCAATATATAAATAATGCACCACATCTATTAATACAGTGTTATTCAATTTCCTTTCAAAGTAAAAATGAAATACTATGACAAGCAAGCCATGTGACCTATCCTTACAAACAGTCCTTGATTGTAAAATCCCTTTCAGTGGCATTATATTAAAATGCCCTGCCTATTCTTTAATTCCTGAGTAGACTGAACAAAAGAAAATTAAACTGTTATTGACTAAGATACTTCAACAGGCTAAGCTGGAGTTTGCAGAAATGGGAATTCTCAATCTTTCAGAGAAACTGTTATATTTCTTTTCATCTAAGTCGGCAATATGGGTTATACTGTCATATAGAGGAAAGCAAAAAGATGGGGGAATCTCTCTTTCTGCATCCTATAGTGTCGACTGGCCGTTTTCCAAGCTCTTTTCAGCTCAGGCCTGAGAGAAGGACCCCTCAGCTGTCCTTTGCAGTCCCGCCTGCCTCACAGAGCTGGTGTGATGATTGGTGCCGGTTTCTAAGGACCTCCCTGTGTATGTGAGCTATACTTCAGTCTAGTGTTCCTGAGGTTACCATTTTCTATAAAACACATAAGCAATTTTTTACATTTGCACTCAAAATACATGTGCGGGGAAGTGAATGCATACACACAATCAAACACGCCACTTACAACCAAGAACGACTTGACAGACAACAGAGGTAGCCAGAGAGTTTGAATTCATCCTGTTTGCTCTTACATCTAGAAACTGTTTCCTGTGATTATGAGGAAATAATCTAAGCTGCCCGAGACTGTGACTGAAGGAGTCTGCTAAGTAGGGGGCTGGGGACCTCAGAGACAGACAAAACTGGGTTGGAATCCAAGCGCCTCTCCTCCCCTCAGCAGGTGATTCAACTTCTAAGTTTCAGTTTCCTCCAAGAGAAGCCTGCCTTACAGATAACAAGAGCACTTGAAACGGCGCCGAACCCTGCCCACTGCAGGCGGCACCAGAGAGCAGCTCTCTCCCCTGCGGTAAGTTTGCTCCCCCTCTTTAACAAGCCCCAAGATCTCAAGCCTCAGCTTCTTATCTGTGCAATGAGGAACCCTGAACCAAAAACTACAAGGCTGAAGTGTTTCCAAAGACAATTTTCAGGAAGTTGATTTATTATCCTATAATTTTAGATACTACTCAGCAGAATTAAGTGCCACTTTATTTTAAATGACTGGCTCAGTTTTGAATCTCAAAACGAATTGTAGGGCTACAAACATTTGCATAGGATTTTAAAATGAATTTCAATGAAATTGAAATAGGTAAAGGTTAGACTGGTAAGAGATGGTACAGAATGAGTTTTGAAATTCAGAAAATTCTAAGTGCCGAGAGGAAGTCAGCCCAGTTGTACTTACTGCATCATCCAGTAAGTTGCCTGTACTTTTTTTTCCAGCAGACTTTGATGACGGAGAAGGTGAAGGAGAAGGGGCAGAAAGGGTTTCTTCTTGTTCAATCTCTTTTTCCAACTTTATCAAACCAGGGGGCTCCACGCCATACCTTGGAAAAGACACCAGATCAATGCACATGCCAAACTCACGAGGATACACTGACCACGTGTTACATTTCATCACGAACACATAGGACCAAACTGCTGACTTTTTAAAATAATATTAACTTTTTCTGGCATTAAATTGGTAAGTTCTTAAATTGGCATTCTGTTAAGCAGAGAAAATAGATATAGCTGATTTAGATATGGATAGATGATAGAGATACACACACATATACCTATGCATGTTGAGATATATATGCACATAGAAGCAGAGACACATAATAAAATACTAAAGAGTACTCCATGAAATATATTAATGAGTGAATAACACGAATATGTAAAATTTCATCTTCAGCTTTCAGATTTACTAGCTTTAATGATATTAGTGGTAATTGAACTCCTATTTTGAACACAAGCTTGTTAAAGATGGAAATAAAATCAGAGAGTTATAGCCAAGTTTGAAAACAGCAATCCTCTAAAATAAACATCCTTAAATGAATTAACAGAGAAAAAGTTCACTGTTAATTGTATACTTCCTAGGGACCCAGAACACTCTAGTATGACTTACATAGTCTATTATAGGCTATGCTCTGAAGAACATGATGAGAGCGTGTATGGTGTTACTCGGAAAGAACATGAACAGAGAGGAAACGGAGAAATAATTTAGGTTAAAAATTATGTGCTGTAAATTATAAATGCCAGAGAAGTTCAAAGAAAGAGCTGTCGTTATCAGCATTCTTATCTCCCATAATCATATTTTTCTTAGGCTAAATTTACAATTGGTTTGCTTTCCTAGATACATATCAATTGACCTAGGAGAAGGACACCAAAAATAATTCCAGAATTTGACAGTTGGGAAGGACCTTTGGGATCATCTAGGCATACCCTTTCATTTTTACAGAATTAAGAATACAGATCCAGAGAAGGTACAGAACAACTTTAGGAACAGGACAAAGATACAAATCCAGGTTTTCTGATTTCAAGGCCATGGCTATTTTTCCCTGACATTTTAATCAGGTGGTCACGTGTTAGAAAGGAGAAAAAAAGTCACTTGAAAATTAAAATATAGGTTATGGATAATCTATGAATACATAATCTATATAGAGAGAATAAGTATGTTGACAATACATCTAGGACCTTAGAGTGAATAGTATATTAAAACATCATCCAGGGGCTGGCCCCGTGGCCGAGTGGTTAAGTTCGCGCACTCCACTGCAGGCGGCCCAGTGTTTCATTAGTTCGAATCCTGGGCGCGGACATGGCACTGCTCATCAAACCACGCTGAGGCAGCGTTCCACATGCCACAACTAGAAGAACCCACAACGAAGAATACACAACTATGTACCGGGGGGCTTTGGGGAGAAAAAGGAAAAAATAAAATCTTTAAAAAAAAAAAAAAAAATCCAGTGTAAAAGCTTAGATTATTGTCCTGTTTTAGCGTTTGTTATTTTACCTGCCATCCCCACACGTGTTCAGTACACACTTCTACCAACAGGGGAAGCAATGGCCCCACTCTGGAGGTCGCGTTCTTGTGGAGGATGCTTGATTAGTTTAATTCCTGGCCTCTCTCTTTCATCACTCACTCTTCTCCAACAAGATGAAACAATTTATAAAATTGGTAAATCTAAGAATAAATGGAGCATCCTTGACTTGGTTCACCCTTCTCCTTCTAGGGAAGAAACTGCCCACAGGGAGGCCTCCACAGGAACCCCACCCTGACTCATCTTTGCTTGTGATTAGGTAGCTGATTGGCCTAATTTTGGAGTTCAGTTAAACACACTAAGCATGTCTGTCAGCTTAGACCTCATCAGTAGTAAAGATGATATTTGATGTTCCATCAGCCACACTTTTATTACATCTTCTAATTTTTTCTGAATTCAGAGAGTAAGGATGGGTGCTATATGTCAGGCACCCTTTGAGAGCTGGAAAACAAAACAGTTTAAGCTGGCACAACTCAACTGAACAAATGCCGTTTTGAGAGCTGCCTCTAGTGAACAGAGTAATCTTATTTACCCAAACCATTAGCTAAAAGACCTAGGCACCATTTATCATATTTTTAACCTTTTATACATATTAGCTGGTTAATGGGACATTAGTGGAAACGTGAGCTAGACTCCAAATTCTATAACAGTAGAGACCACTGTCTGATTCACAGCATCCCCAGCAGCTAGCATCGGTCCTGGCACACAGTAGGTACTTAATAGCTACTGTTTGAATGAAAAAAATTACTCCTGTATTCTCATATGACAGCAATTTCAGTTTCCAAATCTGAATTTGGTTTCATTGTTTGGATCTTTAAAATATTACTTTAATAAAACATATCAATATTAAATGTATATAAATAGTTTACCAAAAAAAAAATGTTCTTCTACAAGACTTTAAACCCTAGCCAAACTAAAATATATTTTTTTACTTTCTAGTCCTCATTAATTACACTGAACTCAACCAAGGGTCTTATTACCCTTGACAAGTATCAACAACTCTCACATGGAGATCTATGTTCATCCTTCCCTGAGGTAGACTTGAGCTAACTGGGCCATTAACCTACTCCTTAAATTTAGCAAATTGCTTAACCTCTAGGAGTCTGTTTTTTATCAGGAAAGTAGAGATGAAAATGGCCTGCCCTGGAGGTCCGATGCAGCCGTGGAGGGAGGGAGGAGGAACTGTGTGAAAAGCAACTGCCACTGGACACCTTCCATGTGTCTGGCAGATTTGGGCATCTTGGCATGTGTTATTTCTGAGCCTCAGTTCTATTTCAATGTAAAATGGAAATTCTAATTCCTGTATTTTAATATTGTTAAGAGAAATTAAAACTGTACCCGTTACATGCCCAGTACAGTGTCTGAGACATGACAACCTCTGGGGTTGCTGTTGACAATTGACGTATCAAAGGTTGCACGACCACGAAACTGCAGCTCTAAGATACTTTTACCAGTGTTTTAATTTTTTTAATATATTATACCACCAAATGACATAAAGTAACAGCTTCAAAATTAAGACATAGGGTAATATTATTACTATCGTTTATATTATTACTGTCGTTTTTTTTCTTTACAAAGGAGTTTTATAAAGGCCTTCTTTAAATCGACTTTCCTAGAATTCTGGAACAGCAGAAATATCTCAGTGCTAGAGTGTAGCAGGACAAGCCATGCACTCAGCTTTGCTACCAACTTGTTGGATGAACTGGAGCAGGCAACCCTTTTCAATCTCTCGAGACTTCTTTGAATTCTTAGTTCCACCAAGGTATAAAACTTTGTTATGTTTAATGTTCATAAGAGAATAACGTAAACTGGGCAGTGAAGCTAGAGGAATTTGACACACTAGGATTCACAGCCAATTAAAAGTCAATCATAAGGGAAAATATCATATTTGAAAGTATAAATTGGGTCTGTTGGAAAATATGACTTCATTTGTAATTGTAGATGGATTCCTGCCACCTTTCAGGAATGGGTTGCAGAATTTCTCCTTTTTCTTTCTTTTTTTGACAAAGTGAAATAATAAGATATATGCTATTAGAGTAACAACAGTCTCCATTCCATGACTGATACAAAGTAGATTAAATTTGAATGAAGATTAAATGAAGTTGGTAAAGAAATCACCCATGGAAAACCTTGCCTTGGAGATTTTTTTTATCCAGGAATGCTGAAAATTAGCTATGCCACTGAACACAGAAAATCAACACTAAGCCCCAAATCTCTGCTTATATTGGCTTTTGAATGCTTCAAGCTGCCTAAGGTACAGTCAGCCAGTCCCAAAATGCACACTTAAATACGATTCATTGGCTTCCTGTCTGTCTGGAGATGTCAACAGGCTGTAAATCATGGAATTCCCCTAGGTTGGGAGCCCGCACCTGCAAGCCAACTTAGTCATCAGATCGGTCTTTTTTCTGCTCTCCAGAAGGCTGCTTCTTTCTGGTTTCCATGATTAACTCTATACCACTTCACATTCCTATTTTGTCTATGAGGTTTTCACAACTTTATACTGTTTTCTACTCCTTTCCAACTACTACAAGATTTTAGAGCTTTGGGGGAGAAGAGGAAACTGTTGCTTTCAAACTGAACAAGGGTCAAATGAAAGATAGCAAGAAGGGAATCCACTCCAACCAAACCCTCACATCTGTGTACCCAAGTGATGGGAAAGGGGGGTGGACACTGAAAAGGAAGGGATTTTTTATTCTTGTCTCATTAAAAGAAAAAAAAACAAAAATCAAAGTGCTAGGGAAAGGATCTTATGGTTAATGACTTTACTATGAGATTCTAGGAATGGACTTTTCATTTTTCTGACACGTGACACCACTTTTGAAATCAGTCTAGACGAAATAATTGAGCCCCCAAACTGAGCCCTGACCTATAAAATTTACTCAGACTATTTAGTGGATTATAGTTTTCAAACCAAAGACATCTGGGGCCTATCTTACTAGAGTTAGAGGCACAGATTTTAGAAACTCTCCCTTTTTAAAGTCTGTAACAGATAGTTTATAGATTCTTGCAAAATGATAGTTTTTAACCCATTTTATTCTGTTTTAAAGTCATTTAAAGACAGATTCATATTTGGAAAGAAATTTCGCCCACATGATATTCTTAGCAGTCAGAGTCAAGTGCTTTAAATAGGATGAGTTAATTAATAAGCCTCATATAAAAATATTTTTCTTTTAAGTAACATTTCATTAGGTCATCGATTGAAAAAAGAGACTAACAAAAATATTCACGAGGTATATTTCTTTTGAATGGTCATAAATTTTGCTCAAAATCAAGGAAGAACTCAAAAATAAAAATACAAAAAAGCTCCATATGATGTTGATTATTGATTATGGCCCCAAACCAAAATATCAAAAAATTTTTCGCTTTTATCATAAAGCTAATCTTCATTCTGCAGACTGCAAAAAGGTTGACTTCATAGTAACTTTTTTTCCAGCAATAATATCAAAGCTCTGTCATTAAAAGGATCTTTGAGGTTTTATTGGCCTGCTTCTACTGAGTATTTTACTTCTCCGGAGGCAAACAGGCACATTTTACCTTCAGAAACGGCTCCTGAAATATTAACGGAGGGACTTCACTCCCCAGTGGTGATAGCTCTATTTGGTTGAAAGTAAAAGGGAGTTTTACCCTCGAGAACAAAAATAAGTGGTCTCATTCTCCCGTCTCAGAACTCAGAGAAGCCCAGAGCTCTCAGAGGAGCTGCTCCAAGTGTTTCCAGGCAGCAGAACATGGCAGAGAATCAGAGACATTTGGTGAGTCGTTTCCAGAGTGATGTTGATGCTTTTAGGATGACATTTATGTCATTTTGAGAAGTAAATGTTTAGAATCAAATATAAAAATGTATCATCTATCAGGGACATTAAAAAACCCCACAAAACTCCCAAGATTGTATCGGGGACTTTGTTATGGTCAAAACTCATCTGTTGTGTGTGCAAATTAACGTTGTGATCCTCCAGAGCTCTCCCAAAATCACTTCCAGTTTTGGATAAAGCTGTCTTAACTCAATAATTTATGTAACCCTCCATGGAGGAGTTGGGGGAGGAAGAAGCACAGGTAAGGATCTGGATATAAGTCTAATATATCTAAAAAAAAAGATTAAGAGTAAAATTAGATCAGGGAATGAATTTCCCTTTTTTCCTCTAACGAATATGCTTCAACATAGGGCTAAGGTAGTGAGACTTGGGTTTATGGGGTTGCTGTTTGTAAAGCACAATTAACTTCCATTAAAATAAAAAATCTTCAAAAACCAGGAGAAACTTCAATGGACATTTATACTTAAATGTTCAGTCTATCCAACTGGTATTCAACTGTTTAACCTTATGCCACACACAACAACAAAAGTAGCACCTTGAATAATCTCTTAGCATATTTTCTCTTTTTCAGTGTAAGTGTGCAATACTTTACACCACTTGAGTAGGTAAAGAAAATAAAAAGCAAAATTTACAACTGAGTATTGCAATGTAAAGCTTATCTTAATCCTTAGATAACTCCTTTATGAAATTAGTAATATTTTTGGCAGTGTGAATGATCACTGCTTTCATCAGCTTGGATGGTCATAACTGTGGTCAAAAATGGAGCAACCTGGGGCCTGCCCGGTGGTGCAGCAGTTAAGTTCACATGTTCCACTTCTGCAGCCCAGGGTACACCAGATTGGATCCTGGGTGCCAACATGGCACCGCTTGGCAAGCCATGCTGTGGTAGGTGTCCCACATATAAAGTCAAGGAAAATGGGCATGGATGTTTGCTCAGGGCTAGTCTTCCTCAGCAAAAAAGAGGAGGATTGGCAGCAGTTAGCTCAGGGCTAATCTTCCTCAAAAAAAAAAAAATGGAGCAATCCATTCTTATCATAAATAATAATAATAAAGAGGGCAAAAGGAAGCTTTTGGAGGTGATGGATATGTTTATGGCATAGATTGTGATGACGGTTTCACAGATGTATACTTATTTCCAAACTCATCAAGTTGTACATGCCAAATACATCCAGCTTTTTGTATGGCAATCATACCTCAATAAAGTGGTTTTAAAAAATAAATAGAGTAACACAGAATCTTGATTTTAAAATATTTTGGAAAAAAAACAAAAACGCAAAACTCTTCATATGATGCTTCAACTGGAAATGGGCCAGGCCATAATGATTCCCTTTCATTAACTAAGATTTTAATTTGTTTTCTAGACTTTGGTGAGGGACACATGTCAGCCTCAGAGCTGGAGGAAAGGTGACTCGAAAGGGATTTTGTTACTGGGTAGCAAGCCCTCTCCTTTGATGACTTGGCCATAGTTAAAACATTTAGCTCAGCAGGATTTCTAATCAGAGTGTTCAGGTCATCAAAAGTCTAATTACAAAAAATAAAATAAATCCAGAAAAGAGGCAAATAATACAAACTAAACAAGAGGAAAATGACAACTCCCAGCTAATTCTGTAGATAGTGAAAGTCTTTCTCTTTACCTCTCTCTCACAATTTTCAGAATCATGATACTTACTTGATTCATATACTTAGATTATTAAAGCAACACAATGGAATCTGGCATTTTAAGAATATTCTAACTGTATAGTTAAAATAAACACTAATCAAAAAGTATTCTGCCTAATCTTCTATTAAGTAGAGACTCCAGACCATCATGTTTCCTTTACTCTAGCATTTCAGTGGCAACAGCTCATTAATTGGGATTTTACTTTGTGTGTTTTCCTCCTCCTTATATTTTTAACTTTGCTTTCCTAGGGGATATCTGCTGAGTCTTTGGTGTCCCTTTGACTCAACGCTGTGAGACTCAACCCTGTGAGTTTGGGGCCAGAAGCCCCAAACTAGTGGAGGAGAGGATTAGGAGAGTCCTAGAAGCAACAGGTCCCTCTGTCTTACTCCCTCACAGAACCCAAGAAAGTGACAGCACTGAAGGGGAAGGGAGTCCTAAGAAACAGGCAGACACTGTGAGCTTGAATTATGCCTGCGCAGTAGAGACCCGAGTGGGTTAAAGACTGGGGACCCTCTCACGAGGCCTTCACACAGCAGCCGGCATGGTGCGAGAGAGAAGGGCAACCTCCAAATGTCTCAAGTTGATTTTTCCACTCCTTGTTGAGTCGATCCTCAGCCATATTTAATTTGAATTTTTTTTTTAATTAAAGCAATCTTTCTTGCACCCAATTATTGTGGTAAAGTAAAATTCTTACCTGATACACAATTTGTTAAGATTTACGTCAACTACGGTGTTTTAAAGAACTTGGGGTTACTTCTGATTACAGGTTAATTTTCCATTGGATTAAAAAAAGCTTTCTACCCAGTGCTGTAGCTTGCTGGTGTGCATATCTTGTATTTTCTTTTCCTTGATTTTCTTTACAAATTTCTGTTTGAGAATTTATGCCTAGAGCTAACTCTCTCTTTATCTTATCAGTTCATCTGATCTCAATCCTAAAAGTATACCCAGATCTGGATGAGAAAACATCTTCTAATTAATTAGGAATTTCCTTTTTTTTGCATCAAGACTTCTTCAAACACTTATATCTTCATTTCTAATTCTTTGGGCTTCAAAGAACTGTCAGAAGCCCTGTTTGATGGTTTTCAAGATGACAAAGGAGAAGACATGAAACCAAGGCAAGTTGGCTGAACTAATAAAGTCCCTCCCTCTGCTTCTTTCGTTATGATTACGATTTCTACAATTACTTTCTGGGCTTTTTTCTAGAAGAAAAAAGATTTCAAAGATATTTCTACATTTGAAGGATAATATTCTACATCTTTCTTTATCAAAATATACAGAATAATTTAAAACCTATCCTCCCCGCTCAGAAGTAGAAACTAAAAGAGCTGAGGGATGTGATGTTGAATGGGAAAAAAAAAAATGAGGAAAAAGGGAAAAAAGAGGAGGGTGAGAATTATTGAAAAGTAAAAAGGAGAGAGAGAGTGAAGGAATTTGGAAAGAGAGACAGTGATGGGAATAGACTTTCCACTAAGGAAACAGTAATTGTGAGCCACAACTTCATGTACTAGGTCCTTCCCTACCCGCCAAGAAAGGGTTGGAGGGAGGATGTATTCAATTAAAGGACACTGAGCACATGCTTAGACACAGCGACTTCGACAACAGGACCATGATGTTAAGAATATTGGTGGCATGCTTTTAGCTTGAACGACTGCTCTTGAGATGTTCATACTGATCATATGTGAAGGAGCAGCTTCTCAACACCCAGGTTCAACATCCTCATGAAAAGCCAGCCAGCTTCTCAGTTGCTCAGATGCTGTGATGCTCAACATCTTGACATAGTGGCAGTAGTTTGACCTACCTGGCTGCAATCCGGCCAAGCTCTAGCAAACAGAGACACACTTCTCTGGGTTGCTTGTGGAGGACTGAAAGACAAGACAGGAGTGGACACCTTTACAATGGAAGGGATTGTAAAGCAGCTTAGTGGCGAACAGGCTTGCCAAGGACCCCTCGTCCCTCATGCTCCCAGTAAATGAACTAGTCCTCGTTCTGACATTCACAGAAACCATCCTATCCCACAGTACACTCGGCTCTACTAAAATCTGAAAGCAGCTTTCCAAACTCTTTGCCCAACCTCCCTACCAAAAGCCATGAGTCTCAGGGAATCGCACCCTGAAAACATTTTCTTTAATTAGTTAATATCAGTAAGTCAACACTAGAAACATACATAGCTGTCATTATGAGATAAATAGTTCACAGATATTTAAAACACACAGTGCACAGAGACTATGGAGCAAAGACTGGCCTTTTCAAAATCCTGAGTCTACCTTCACCAGTGATTTTAGCAGAAATAATGCAATGAATAAGGATAAATATTACACACCACAGTCCTTCGTTACCCTCCAAACAATGATGACAAGTGACACTGAAACTTGATGTCCTCTTCTAATCAAATCTAGTTAAATGATACTTTAGAAAGAAACACTTTCAACTGACTGGATTTTGTAAATGTGTACCAACGTAAAGCCTTGGCCAATTTTGCTCATAAAATGAGCAAATTAGAAGACTGTTCTTTGCATTGATATTTCTATTCTAATAAAATCTGATTACTTAATAAATCTGCTTTACCAATTGCTTTCCCATACTCGCATTGGTTGAGCCTACCAGAGGAGTACGGCCTGCTTATACTGCTCTCTTTTTTAAACAAGAGAATTTTTTAAATGTTATTATATACAGCACTTAATAAAGACAACAAATATTGGAAAAAAATATTGCATTGAGAATGGTCTTTACATGGACAAAATAGCCTGATAAGAGAAAATACTAGCTTATTGATAAATTTGAAGGAAAATAGCAATATTGCTTTAATTATTAAACAGAGAGTTTCATAATAATTCAAATTCCCAGCATTATTCTATTCCCTTAACATAAACATCAATTCCTTCTCTCCACAGCTTATGGTAGTGGCAATATTTGGTTCACTAATACAAGAATGGAATCGGTTGGGTGTGGTGAATGGAAAAATACATTTACTTGGATTGTAAAAGTATATGATTTCACTTGCCTTTAAACAGGCACAAATTTACTAGCTTGTTATAAAATGTCACATTCAAAACTTTTAAAATAAGTTTTAATCCCATCAGCAATGCTCATTAAAATAGAATTGATTATGGGAAATCCAAATAACAGAACAATTCCATTCTTGGTAACATAAATTTTAGTTTCAGCTGACCCTTAGTGAATGGCCACAAAACTCTAACTGGGGAAGCCTAAAATTACTTCTAATTAAAGGAGCTTAAAATAAAGATATTTACCACCTCCAGTTTCAAATGCACCACTAGTTGACTCTGGCTAGACTGACCCAAACTTCACAATTTTTGACACATAAAATCAACTTCATGCAAAATAACGTGTGGACTGTAATATCACATAATTTCAAACAAAGAACAATAACAAACAGCACAAAACAGAAGCAAACAAATGAAAATCAACCTTCCCGTCTAGAAAATCAATTTCTTTGGACTGAGACTTTTTAAAAAATTTTGTCCATGGTACAAAATAACAAACAGGAGTTTTGAGTGGGGAAAAAAGAATACAAAACAGCTGTGGAGGGGAACATTTTTAAGGCCCTGCTAATACCCTCATCTCAGCAAAAGCCGTGTGAAGCAAGTGGTGAAAGCTCCAGAAGACTTGGAATCAGTCTTATGCATTTATTGACGGAAATAGTGTCAAAATATGAAAATTATCAGTGAACTGACCAAACTGTGTCAATGTGCAGTCAACAACCAACTATAAAAATACTTGGCCCAATTATTGCGCTTCCTTAACCAACTTACTGTACATATTTTGAGGACTATATAAGCATTCGAAGTAAATAGACAAATCTTATGGAAATTAAATTCATTCGGAAGAAAAACAACAGTGTGGGTAATATAAGAGAGACAATGTGATATGTAGGATGCATTGCAATCATGTATTTCTTCCCTTCCTCAGTAGAGCCACCAATGTAAAACAGCTTCTGCATGCAAAACCCGAATGTCAAATCCACCGTGGACGCACAAGAAAATCAATTTGGTAAACTGAAAAGTAACTGCACAATTCTCCATTTTATATCCTTAACAGAATCAGCCCATAAAATTTAAGACAAATAAACCTCTTCCTCAGCATCATTTCTTAGGAAAATGCTAACAGAAAGATAATGTTTTACTCCCCAGTTTTCTTGGAAATATTATTTTGCATAAAGCAATAATATTGCTTCAAAACACACCTTTAATATTGTCTCACATGTTAATGGTTTTTTTAACATTGGGTATATCATGCCTGGCCCATAAAAAAAAATCAATGTTTGATGACTAGTAAGCAGTGAATGAGATAAATCTGTAGAGTGCATAACCTAGTACACTGCCTAGGACACAGTAATTACTCAGTAAGTGTTACACCTCAAAATATCGAGGAGGATGACAGTTATGTGGTGACGGCAAGTGATCGTGACAATGAGCAAACTGAATAAAGACTAACGTCTTACATAGCATCTTTAGAAGAGGCAAGAGTTTAAATTATGCAAATGTTTATTTAATTGTAAGGCAAACATTCTTACCTTATTGCTATAAAATTACAGTCGAGTCTTTAAGGAGTGTCTACATTGTACCAAAGAGGGGACTCTGTCTGGTTTTTTTTCACTCAGGCAAGTTCTGAAGCAAAGTTAACAAATGGAAAGAATATAGTGGCCCTGGGATTCGAGCCACAAAGATCTGGTGTGAGTGTGAGCGCTAACATTCACTAGTTGTGTTACTGGGGGAGTTTATTCTAGAAAATCTCAGTTTTCTGAGGGGAAAACACTAGTGTGTACCTTGCAATACTTTTTTGAAGATTAAACAAAGTAATATTTATTGTTATTCTTAGCACAACACTTAATACATAGGAAAGACTTGCCCAAGGTTAGTTTTCTTTATTATTATTTTTATTCTCATTGTTATAAATTATTTGCTTAAAGATTATCTTCATTTGGCTTAGTCAACATTAATTCACTTATTTTTTCTCCGATAAGCATTTTTTTGTGTGCACCTATTATGTGTCAGTCACTATCCAAAGCAGGAAGAAACTTCAGAATAAAAACATATTACTATTGGTAGACATGTATAATTTAAAGTGGTCCTATTATAATGAGTATACGTATTTTGAATATTTTATCATGCATGTTATTTTAGAGATCGTTAATCCTAAATTTAATCAAATTTCAGGTTAAGTGGCCCAGCTTGGCCAGCATCTGTAGACAGACACAGAGCAGGTATCCAAGAGCTATTACGAGTTTGTGCTTAGCATAGATCTTAGGTAACAATTACGTTAGGACACATCATTTTGTGAAACACCAAACATCTTAACATTAATTTTCCTCTGTCTCTGAGAATAAAGTAATTTCGATGAGCCCATTTTCAATAAATCACCTAAATTGACTATTTTGTACGTTTTACAAGAACAAATAACTGAATGCATGTCTTTGTCAGGATGGTTAGAAAGACAACTTTCAGTACATTGTGTTTGAACTAAAGTATTTGTATTGAGTCATATGTACCACTCATTTTAAACACATTTACTGGTTTATCTTTCCATAAAAATAAAGAAACTTCCACTTCCACTGAAGTCTACAGTAGGAACCACTTTTTCACTCTATCATTGTAACATTGATATGGTCTTTTGCTTTGAGTTAGGAGAAGAAGAGGGAATCACTGTTGCTTTCTTTCCTCTGAACAAATTCTCTGTAAAGCAAATAAGTTCTCTAGTCAATGGCAATTATTATGCAAAAGAGTTTATCATTGGAGGCTTCTTTTTAAATAATCAAAAGCATTTCAAATAAAAGTATAATGCAGAACACCTCTGGGAAATGTATCACAGATCCTTATTCAAAAATATGCGGCAAGAGACTCAATCTTATAACCCAGATTCTGTAAAAATCTCCTGGGCATCAAATGTCAGATGGAATGCTGCTGGCTCCAGGAATAGAAAATGAGGCCTTCTGCTAGAGCAAGGGGTAGAGTTTCAATGCCACAGAATCTGCAAGGATAAAATGCATTAGACCATGAATATACAGTTTAGCTAAATATATTAAGTTTTAACAGATGGGCAAAGAAATGAAAGCCTGAAAAATTCTGTTGTCTATTTGGTGTCTATACATTAGGGACTACAATATTCATGTTGATTTTGAAGGAAACCGGTTTTTAGATTTATATTTAGGAAGAAAATTTGAAAAGATTAGATTTTTAGCTGAATATTGTTGACTTATGAAAATATCATAAATTAACAGCTGTCCACCTTCCCAGAGTAGAGAAAAGATTCTAATACTCCGAAAGAGTGGTACAGTAGAAGACACAGTAAACTACAAGTCAGGAGGGTTGGGTTCTAGTCCAGGCTGCATAATTTCCTCATCTCTCAAGTAGGCGTCTTGCCTCCCACTTGCTCTTCCTTAGGAGGTAGTTTTGTGGTTTTGAGCACTTGGTATATAGTAAGCATGCAATAGATGTTACTCCCTTGCTACTTAAGTGTGGTCCACAGACCAGCAGGATTGGCATCAGCTGGGGGCATGACCGAAATGCAAATTATTGGGTCCCACTCCAGACTTACCGATCAGAATCTATACTTAAACAAGCTCTCCAGGTGATGAGTATGCACATTAAAGTTGAGAAGCCCTCTATTAATCAATGCTATGATTATTACAATAAGTATAAGTTACAATTCCTATATCTATTTTCTTAAAAATATTCAAATGTGCCTTGATACATGAAGTATGCTCTATAAGTGTTTAGGATACCAGTGGTGATGGTGGTGATGATGATGAATGTAGGGAAATTAATCCCTGCTTTGGGTTAGCCTTTAATGGGGATTATGGGCAGTTCTCTCCTGCCAGGATTGATAAGGTACAAAAGATGCC